AGTGGTTGTGGGCGGTAGACTGTTGTAATGACTGCCATCTATGATTAGGTTAATTCAACTAATCCTGCAGTATTGAATCAATTATGCATGTTTTGGTATTTTTATAAGCTTTAAATTTTATCTATTTTTTTTGTTTTTTTTTGTTGCTACCATATAGATGACCAAACTCTTAACATTTGCTGCGAAGAGAAATACCATTTCTTACCTCAGAAAGCAATGGTAGATTTGATGTATTGGTCATCATTATTTCAAATACCAGGGAATGTACAATAGAATACAGTCAGTAACACAATAATCTGGCAGCAAATATTTTTCTTCTTGTCTGACAAGGCATTCACAATGCCATGTACAAATGTCAGTGTATGTTCTGTCCGTGCAATCTTGCCTAAATTCCAAGTCATTTTGGAAAAATGTACTTAACCTATTTTGGAAACTTTTACAATGTAACATGGCCTTAAACTGGGAAAAATAATCATTTATATGCAATTTGGAGAAACCAAAAAAATCGAAAGTTTAATGAAGCAAGTTGAAACACAATATAGTTGTTTTTGTCTATTTCAATTCAAATTTCTGTATCAAAGCATGGAACAATTTGCAAAGAAATCAATGAAATAGCAAAATGTATGCCCATCAAATTTATGAACACAAAAGGAACACATGTTCACCCTACAATTTTTTAGGGGTGCAAATGTCCGCCTCAAAGCAAGACAACGATAGGTGCAACTCCTCTTGGTATTGTTTCAATAAAGTTTCATTGAATTCCAACAAGAACTTGCAGAGAAGTAGCATTAGCATGGAAATGAGTATTGTTCTTTATGCATATTGCATAACTAATCAAGGGCCATTATTCTGTGTCAAAGGTCTGACCCGAACAAGGCAACTTTATGCGCATCTCCTTTTGGTATTGATGGTTCCCATAAAGTTTCATTCAATTCCATCCAGTAGTAGCAAAGAAATAGCGCAGAAACAAAATTCGGACGGACAGATGGACAAAATTAAGGAAGAGGGGCGGGGGCAGACCAAGCCAAAACATAACCTTCTCCAAATTCCATCAGTAAGGGATAATAAAGCACAGTTGCCTGAGAAAAAGTCATAAAGTGTAATCCACAGTGACACTGGAAAAAGGCACAGCAAGTTTTACTTACTTTCACTCAGCTTTGTATAAAGTATTAGGTGTATATCGGTTCCTTCCATCTACCATATATGTAGATGCATGCCACCTTAGCCTTGTTACCAAAGTTACAAAGATCAAATCTGACTAGCTGACAATTCATGAATAAAGACATAAATATGCCTAGTGTACAACATAATCTGGGTTTTGCTAGAAAAGAAAGTAAAACAAAATTTAATAGTATAAGTACTTATTTCTGCGGGCTTAATATTCTGCGATTTTTGTTAAAATAAGAGGTTTTAAATTTCTGCGTATCTTATTTCTGCGGTGTCATCAGTCACGCATTGATGCTTTTTATTTCTGCGTTTCGTCGTAATCATCATGTATCGGTAAATACATGTAAATAAATGTGAAATGACAACAATTTAAATACTGTATGTGTACAAATATGAAGTGTGAATAATAAACAATAGCGAAATCGCATTTAGACACAAGATATTTTACAAATACAAAAGGGTATGTTTATTGCACCCGTCAAACTACAATAGTTTGATTTTACAAAAACAAATCAAGCTAAGGGTGAGCGAAAATTATACAAACATAACATTTATGTAAACAAAGGGAACAAGAAAGTAACATTTTTTTTCTAATATTTTATTCACGACAGATACATTAAGAAAAATTACCATCTACAAAAACTGATAACGGTACATATGGTAATGAAATTATACAATACCGGTAATTGACTTATTCCGACATATACATACGGAAAGGCTGAATTTTCTGCGGTTTTTAAATCTGTGGTGTTGTTATGAACCGCAGAAATAGCAGAAATAAAGTTCCCGCAGAAAATAGTACTTATACGGTAGTTTGCTGTCACCTAATATCGTAGAGTCAAGAAAAAACTTCTACAGAACAGATATGCTGAGTTTTTCAGAAGAGGGTGGTTGTTGAGCCTGCAAAACCGCCATAGTACCAAATTCAATAGTTTCAACGACAAGTTAATTATTTGAAGTTTACATTTGATTTAGCCATATTGTCTCAACTAAGTATTAGAAGCATTTTAATAGGTTATCAGCTCCATCAGACAGGTCCAAAGTAAATTTTTGAAAAGTAATTCACCCATGTCAAACCACATCAAACTCTTGTGAACATCTGCTGATGTCCCTGCACATCATATACCAAAATTTACCAGTTAAGTTGGCATGCGAGATATTCCAAATGGGTCAATAAAAGTGCCTTAAGTTAACCACAACTCAAACTGTATGGCATGCAAGTTTATAGAATGAATATAAGTGTCATGTTGGATAATGATGTGGAGTCATAATTATCATCTTTTTAAGATGTAAGAAAGCATTCTGTTGCAAGATGTCTAGAAAGGTGCTGAGAAGCAAATCTACCATAACAGACCCAATCACATGCCCTCAGAATATCTCAGTAACCTTCAAAACTTAGTCCATCCAAACAAAATTCAAGTTTCAGTTTAAAGTTTATCAATTTTGTTACAAAGCTAACCTGAAGAAAGCTCTGCAAAATCTCAGAAGAGGTGATTGTTCATTTAATATCAAGAAGTCTCATGCCAAAATATACAAAGCAGCAATTATTGCCTTTATTCACAATCACTTGCTTCTTGACATGTTTTAAAGAAAAAGGAAAATTGTTCAAATTGTTTTAGTTGGACATTTTGTGAGACCCAGATTATCATGTTCTACAATAAACTGACACATGGAGACCGATTAAATGAATTTCCAGTTAATTATGCAATGTTAACAGCTTACTCCATAAGGAAGCATTTCTGGTTCTCATAAAAAAAACTATTCTTTTCTATCATTAGAATACAATCATGCAACTTGTATATCTAAAATAGTATTAAAAACATTCATTATGAGTACCGTATGACATATCATATTTCTTCAAAAAATAATGGGCCTGCTTTGAAAATATAAAGTATTATCATACTCAGATATTCAAAAGGAATTATTTCATGAAAATAGCATTCCTTTATCAAAAAATAATAAGAAAAAAATATAAAAAATTCTCGAAAATACTTTGTATATGATTCTGTTTATAAATGTACCCAGGACAACTGAAGCTTACACAAATAACAATGTGTTTCTACAGCATAGATAGTTACCTACATGTGTGCATAAATTTGATTATTGCATTAGTATGGTATATTTATAGATTCAAATGTTATTACTAAAGAAATAGTATGAAGTTACACACTATGATGACTTTTTATTTGAATTACTATAAGCGTAGCCGTTGAACGTCTGAAGGTATCATGTACGCCCTTTTCTCATGCATACTTCTTTGAAAGTCATTAACAATTTTTGTTATTATAAATTCATTATATGTACAAGTTGCTGACTGGATATATGGGAGAAAATAAAAATTGCTGACATGAACATAACCCTGAGCTTGTGCCTTGGATAATATTTTTCTCATTCAGGCTATATTCTCCCATATATATCCCATCAGCAACTTGTTTAACTACAAGTATATACATTTGTACATGTAAATGCTATACCTGAAATGCTCAATAGAGACAATGTTCAAGGAAAATGTTTTTACAATGTAGTTTTTCAGCATTGTAAACAAATACATTTGAATTGACCAAATATATAACTTTTGGGAAAATGTATAATACCCATAAACAAGACTAAAAACATTTGTATTATACAGCAAAAAGAGTCAACCAAATAAAATATATAATAAAATTTGCACAAAACATTTTAATGGGTCCTAAATTTAATTCAGAAATCTAATAAGTAATCATAATTTACACTGAAAAAAAAAAACTTAAACAAAAACCAATGAAAATATGTTCAAATTGCAAATCAAAGTACTGAAGTACAGACAAGCTGGTTGGCAGTTTATGATCAATTTGCATAAATTACATAAATTTGCATTCATTTGAAACAATTACATAAATTACATAATGTTTTAAACAATGTTTCCAGTCTTGGAAATGAAAATATGTACTGAACTGTCCAAAGGGATTTTTTTTCTTGCTACTTATTTTGCTACTTTAAGACATGTTTTAATTATCAGTAGCATTAATTTTGTGAACTATCATTTTCTTCAAATGACCTTGACCTTTATGACCTTTGCCTTGACAAGGCTTGGCTTTTAATATTCATTATGCTATATTAGTTTTATGTTTTATTTTTAAATAAGTATGTCCATATAAAATTTTGATAATAAATTATATATAAAATTTCCACATTTGACATTCACATTTCAGGACATACAAAAATAGTGGAAGTGACCTTGATTGATGTTAAAATTCCGAATCTTAATCACTTGTACGCCAATTATTTTGGTATTGCTGAATGCTGTACAAATCAGTTACCACTTTGACATCTGTTTTGATGATAAGTTGTAAATAATTTTAAATCCTTTTTTTTTAAATATCTAATTGAAATAATTTTTTAGCGAGATTTTTTGCAAATGACCTTGAAATGACCTTGACCTTGGCTTGAATTGATTGCTTTAATATGTTAGTTAAAAGTCCTTTATCATAGAAGTAGTAATCATGCAATCATTAATTGATATATTTGTAGATAAGAAAACTGCATGTGACTTATAAAATTTCCTTCTATAAACAAATTGTGGCGGCCATCTTGGACGCCATCTTGGATTTCTCAGCCCGCACCACATAAAGAAAAATTATGCCACCATTTCCTGATATAAGATGCATTTGCGGTCATTTTGGTATATAACACAATTAATGTTCTACTGTTATGAAAATTTCACTGAGATTCAGCACCAATTGTCACCGTACTATTTAGGATTACTTAATATTCACTAAAATATACTTAATTCCTTTATGTTCTATGTTTGACATGACAAAAGAAATATTTTCAAACAAAACTTTACATTGTAGGTACAATCACTATTCAAGTACCAGATGTGGGTAACTGTGGTGATGATACAAATCTAACATGTCAGGTTACTGGTAATATTGGTACTATAAGCTGGATTGTAGGAGGGACGAGTATTGTAATAAATGGAGGTGCTGTAGTACCAGATGACCACAACAAATATACAGAAAGCAAGCAAGCATCATCGTTCACATTGACAATAAACAACACTGACAGTTCTGATGAAGGATATTATAAATGTAGAAATGGATTTAATGACAGTCAAGATAAACATTTAAATATACAGTGTAAGTTGTTATGACAGAACTAATATTGATTGGTTTTATAAATATTTAGAAATTTAATTGACATAAACATCCTAAAACTTCAGGGGAAATTTTAAAACCAAATTTTTTAAAAATAAATAGTTTTTTTAATTAAAAAAACAGATTTTTAAATTTATAGGGAGACATATAATGAACGGGTATCTTAAGCAAAAAACATAAAACAAATTTAAAAATTTAAAAAATCCAGACTGAACAAAATTTCGAAAATTTTTAATTTCAAAAAGTTTTGCAATTTTAAACCCAATTTAAAAATTGAAGCATATTTCTCAAAGGGAATGCAAACAAGGAAAAAAATTTTTTAAAATTTTACATGCTGATAGATTTCCCTGAGTTTTTGTTCATTCATCATTGTAAATTGATTATTCAAATACGAAAGGGAATGAAATAAAAAATTTTTAAATGCCACTTCGGGAAATCTGTGTGCGGTGGCAATTATGCGTTTTCCCCTTTGTGTTTTTTGTTTGGGTGCGATGCTTTTAACATTTTGTGCGGTGTGTTGTATGTGTGTTATAAATTATATAGTGAACTATAAAAAAAAAAACTTCTTTAAAAAAACCACAACTCCAATTTCAACCAAATTTGACTGGATTTTTCTTGGGTGAAGGGATTCCAAAGTTGTTCAAAGAAATTGATTCCATGCAGAAATTTGGTTGCCATGGCAACCAAAAGAAATTGTAAGAAAAAATTTAAAAAGTCTTGTTGTAAAGACCCACAAGGCTTAGAGCATAGATATTTTGCATAAGACATATTCGGTAGACCTCTACCAAGATTGTTCAAATGTTACCCCTAGTGTCAAAATTGGCCCCATCTCAGTTGGCATAGGTTTTCCTTTTATGTGTATAGTAAAAAACTTGAAAAAAAACCTTCTTCTCAGAATTGACAAAGGCCAGAGGTTGGTTATTTGGTGTTAAACATTGTGTAGTAGACCTATACCAAGATTGTTCAAATTATAGCCCTGAAATATATAGGCATGAAATATAATATTGTGTAGTGAACCTTTGTTTACAGTTGAATTGTTAACACTTCTGTGTGTGAGAATAAGCATGCTTGGTTCCTCTTTCTCTTATATATGCTCACCAGAACCTAAGGTTCAGGGTGAGCTATTAGTATCAAAGGGGGATGCTCCGGCGTTCGTCATCATGCGTCAACAGTCGTCTTCTTCTCTGAAACTGCTCGGCAGATTTACTTCAAATTTGGTCTGTAGCATCCTTGTGACAGTCACACTTGAATTGGCTAATGCCACTTTTAGGGGTCAATAGAGCTAAAAATCGAAAACCGTTAAAGATCTTCTACTACAGAACTAATTTATGGATGATCACCAAACTTTGTTAGTAGCATTCTTTGGTAGACTCTTTTATCAAGTTTGCTCATATTAATTTCATTGGCCCCTTTTAGGGTTTCTAGAGCTAAAAATAGAAAAACCTTTAGACATCTTCTTCTACAGAACTAATTGATGGATGATCAGCAACTTTTGTTTGTAGCATTCTTGGGTAGTCTTTTATCAAGTTTGCTCATATTGATTTATATGTAAATAGTAAAAACTTAAAAAATTGTCTTCTCTAAATTGACAAAGGCTAGAGGTTCAATATTTTGCATGAAACATTGTGTAGTCAACCTCTAGCAAGATTGTACAAATTAATCCTGAGTTCAAAATTGGCCCCACCCCCAGGGGTCATTCACTATGTACATATAGTAAAAAATTAAAAAATCTTCTTGTCTGAAGGAACAAGGCTTAGAGCTTTGATATTTGGTATAATATATCATCTATGGGTCCTCTACTTAAGTTGTTTTAATTATGACCCTAGTGTTAAAATTGCCCTGCCCCAGAGGCGATAGTTTTCCTTATTATATATAAAGTAAAAACTTGAAAAATCTTCTCTGAATTGACAAAGGCTAGAGATGAAATATTTGGCATGAGACTTTGCGAAGTGAAACTCTACCAAGATTGTTCAAATTATAGCCCTGGGGTCAAAGTTGGCCCTGCCCCAGGGGTCATTAATTTTCACTATGTACATATAATAAAAAATTAAAAAATCTTCTTGTCTGAAGGTACAAGGCATAGAGCTTTGATGTTTGCTATATAATACCATCTATAGGTCATCTACAATAGTTGTTCAAAGTTTGTCCCTAGTGTCAAAATTAGCCCTTACCCAAATAACGGTATATATTCAGGTGAGCACTTTGACCCCCTTGTTCACAAATGCAATCTTGTTTTATTAGCTTGACTATACAAAGTATATGGAGAGCTGTCCTACCGGCCCCGGCATCAGCGTCCCTGTCCAGATTTCAGATTAAAGTTTTGGTGCAGTAAAATGTTTTTCACTGTAACTTTGTCATTTCTTAAGGTATCAACTTCAAACTTCAAATATATGTTCCTTACCATCAACCATATCTTATGTGACAAGGTTCATAGCTCTAGCACCAATATTTTTAGATTTATCTCCCCTTGAACTTAGAATTTTCCTTAAAAAATACTGTTTTTTTACTGTTACTTGTTTATTTCTCAAGGGATAAACTTCATACTTCAAATACATGTTCCTTATCATCAACCTCATCTGACAAGGTTCATAACTCTAGCACCAATATTACAAGAATTATCTCCCTATTAACTTAGATTTATTTACTTGAAAAATGTTATTTTTTACTATGACGTTTTTAGTTTTAAAGATACATGTACACTGTAGGGTGGGGGTACCCTGTGTCCTATGGACACATTTATTTCTAGTTCTTTCACAGTTTTGTCTTCCTTACTGTGTCCAGTATTTTATTAGTCGAGCTTCACTGTCTCCTGTAATAGTTCTTGTTCTGGAATATATTGAAAGTAAAAGCAATCAGATCAGCTCACTATATATTGGTTTCAGGGAAAGACTTTTTGAAAAGTCAGATCTTGCCTGCAATGAAAATTTGCAATATGTTGATAGGATTTTATCATATCAGAAAAATCTGCATTATAAATAATATGAATTTTTAATAAACATTGTTAAAATTTCCACCTTTTTGTAATACTTTTTTCATTAGGTAAAGCATCATCAGCTACACACAGCATTACAAGAGGAAAGAAAGTACAGATAACAGTTGATAAACTCTATCCTGCCTCACCAACACTGGCTGTTACATTTAAAAGACAGGTACTCTTATAGCTCACTTGAACAGAAAGTGCTCAGATATGAGCTTTTTTCAAATGGCAATTTTATGCTTTATTCACAATTTCTTTTAACAAAATCAGCTAAATCACCATTGTGAATTATGATCATATTCTGCAAGAATGATTATTTTATAGGCCTTTGCAAAAGTATAAGTCTGATGAGTAAGTCAAAAACAAGCCCAAAAAATAAATTTTAGAAATGAAATCTTAAAGCAGCATACCTCCAGATTTAAGCTATAACACATGAACATTTTGAAAATGTATTTTGGGGGATTAATGTGCCTTAAAGAAATCTTTGCATTCAAGATTTGTGACCTTTTCCACCACTTTATCTCAGGTGAGAGATGTAAGGTCAATGTCACCTTGTTCATACATTATGAATGCGTGGTAAAAAAGACAACCAATGAACCTAATTACTTATTTTAATTGCTCATAAGAATTTTGACCTTTATGGCAATGAAGCTTATTAAACTCATAAGCAATCCAGGGCCATTATGGCATTCTGTGCCTTATAACAGGGTTAACGCATGTTTTTTCGTGTTATAACGTCTGCAGAGTCCCGAGGAATGGTTGGTGCCCGAGCCTGGTAAGGCGAGGGCTCCAACTGTTCTGAGGGACTCTGCAGACTTTATAACACGAAATAAACATGCGTTGAAGCTATTATATCATAAAATTTAAAAAAAGATTCATGATGTATATTTAATACAAAACACATACATTAAATCCTTGTGTTTGGACGGTATTTATCCAATTCTACATGTTTTACGTATGTGTTTTATTTTTCCGGGGCCAACTACTTGGGACATTCAAATGCTCAGAACCGTTCGAAAATTTGAATTTTAATTGATTTAACAAAGTTTAACATTGGAGATTTATTAACTCAAGAAAAAAAACAACATTAAATTACTCTGCCCAAGATGAAACATGACCCTCAGAACTTCTTAGAATGATTTCAGATTGACGGCAGAAAAAAGGATCAGTGACATCAGAATCGTTTTTTTTTCCAAGCTCACAAGTTATTAAAGAATATCAGGCACTAAACATTATTCTCTCAAAGAAGTATAAAGAGCATTTATAATAGAAAACATCCATAAAACAACATTTTCTCATATTCATTTTGGGTTATCTTGTTTTGTAAGTAAATGTTAAGGTTAAACTGAAAGACATTTATTTGTTTACATTGACAACTGTCCGTTTCTTAGAAAGGGCGACAACCAAGATAAGAGGCGATGTCTATACGCCGTATTTCCGGCATAGTTACTTGAATGCTACTCGCTGTTATGCGATTTAGGCCCTCAATAATCAATAATTTCAATATAACACTTTGGCAAACAGGCCAAATCGTCATTTTTTTTGTTTGTTTACTTGGCCCTGTATGTAATGCGCATAGGTAAAACGGGGTTATAACAAGAGCGCGTGACTATGTTAACACATGGTTTTGATCCCGTTATAACATGGGCAAAAGAGGGAAAAATAGCCGATTTTATGCTATAATATGCTGAAATGCATGCTTTGTGTAGCATTGCGTATACAATATAACTTTATTTTATTAGAATATTTTTTAATAAATGAGGAAATGAATGAACATCTAATCTACGAATACGAATACGAACTTTATTAAGCATAAAACATAGTACAATGTTTATAGCCATAGAAATACAAATAAACATATACATACAATGAGAAACAGAACAATTTTCCAGAGAGTATAAATATTTGCCAGAAAAATAAACAATTCTAGATTTCCATACAGATTTGCAAAATACAAAAATTTAGACAATGCCAACAATGTTCTCTTTGATCTAGATGATAAAAGATTATCAAATTTATACATGTTTGGCCAATGACAATATATAGGTTTAAAAATATTTATTCTAAGCTCTCTATAGTGTGGACACACAAGCAGAAAGTGGTATTCATTTTCAATTTTTCTCATGTGACATGATTTACATATTCGGTTTTCACGTTGGGATTATCATATCTTCCTGTTTCAATAAAAAGATTGTGTGAAGAGGTTCTAAACTCTATATTTATTTTCATGTACGGAGTCTAAATATAATTCCCTAACAAAATTGTGTTTAAATAGACAATAAGTTTGTAATCTCTAAAAATTATTAATTTCGGCACACCATTTTTGCATAAATGTGTCCAATAATCTTTGTTTTAAAGAGTTAATCGGAATTTCAATATCAAATTGGTTATCTTAGACATACCTAAATCTGTTACTTGATAGAATATCTTTAACATAAGAGGCCCAATTTTTTCCACCATAATTACGACCGGAGTCCGTGTCGGATTTGAGAAGGTATGATTGTTTTACAATTGAGGAGTCATTCTGTTTAAGTATCTTTATCCAATATCGGAGTATATTAACTTTACGAAAGATTTGTATCGGAACTCGACCTAATTCTCCATAAAGAGCTGCAAGATTCGTTGACTTTTTTACACCCAGGATTCTACGCAAAAATTTTGTATGAATTAGCTCGATATCTGGTGCATCGTTTAAACCCCAAACTTCTGAACTAAAATTTAAAATTGAACCTACTAAAGAATCGAATAGTTTACATTTCTGATAAACTGGTAGCTATATGTGTCTAAAAACTGTAAAAAGGTTAAAAAGTGCATATGACGCATGTTGAGCGATTCTTTTTTGTGTTCTATACCAGTTACCATTTTTGAAAAGTGTAATACCAAGATATTTAAAAGATTCGACGATATCTATTCGTGTGTTGTAAATAAAGAAATCATATGGGAATGTCTGCCTTTTTCAAAAATCATGGCTTTAGTCTTAGAAGTATTAATTTTCAACCCCCAAAGTTGACAGTAATTTGTAATATCATTTAACATAAACTGTAATGTTTCGGGAGACTTAGCAAAAAGCGCCTGATCGTCTGCAAACAATATTAGAAAAATCTTGAGCTCATTTATGGTAAAAATATCACTTAAATTTGTATTTATACAGTCGTTTATATCATTTACGAACAGCATGAATCCTGTTTCAAGCCTATGTGTGTTTCGAAAAAGTCTGAAAATGAAGATTTATACTTTATACATGACTTAACCTTGTTATACATTGATTTTATTGCTTTAACTAATTTGGAACTAACGTTTTCAGTAAGTAGTTTCTGCCATAGGAAAGATCGGTCTACTTTATCGAAACATTTCTCATAGTCAATAAAGACACAGTAAAGTTTTTCACCCGAATCAAGGACTTTTGATATTACTGTGTGAAGAATGAAAATACAATCTATTTCAGATTTTCCTTTTTGGAAACCAAACTGATTAATACAAATTTTTTCATTATTTTCTACCCATTTAGTAAGTCTATTCAGTAGAATTTGAGAATAAATTTTTGCCAATATGTTTACTAGAGTGATTCCACGATAATTTTGTGTATCGTTTATATCTCCTTTTTAGCTCACCTGTCACAAAGTGACAGGGTGAGCTTTTGTGAACGCTTTTCGTCCGGCGTCCGTCCGTCCGTCCGTCCGTAAACTTTTACTTTAAATAACATCTCCTCATAAACCACTAAGCCAATTTCATCCAAACTTCACAGGAATGTTCCTTTGGTGGTCACCTTTAAAAATTGTTCAAAGAATTTAATTCCATGCAGAACTCTGGTTGCCATGGCAACCAAAAGAAAAAACTTTAAATATCTTCTTTTAAAAAACCCAAAGAGCTAGAGCTTAGATATTTGGCATGAAACATCTTCTAGTGGGTGTCTACAAAGTTTGTTCAAATAAAAGCCCTGGGGTCAAAATTGGCCCCGCCCCAGGGGGTCATTGATTTTCCCTATATGCATATAGTAAAAACTTAAAAAATCTTCTTTTAAAGAACCTATAGAGCTAGAGCTAAGATATTTAGCATGAAACATCTTCTAATGGGTGTCTACCAAGTTTGTTCAAATTAAAACCCTGGGGTCAAAATTGGCCCCGCCCCGGGGGGGGTCATTGATTTTCCCTATATGCATATAGTAAAAACTTAAAAAATCTTCTTTTAAAGAACCCAAAGAGCTAGAGCTAAGATATTTTGCATGAAACATGTTCTAATGGGTGTCTACAAAGTTTGTTCAAATAAAAGCCCTGGGGTCAAAATTGGCCCCGCCCCGGGGGTCATTAATTTTCCTTATATGTGTATAGCAAAAACTTAAAAAATCTTCTTTGAAAAAACTTGTATAGCTTGAGTTAAGATATTAAGCATGAAACATCTTCTCGTGAGTGTCTACAAAGTTTGTTCAAATAAAAGCCCTGGGGTCAAAATTGGCCCCGCCCCAGGGGGTCATTGATTTTCCCTATATGCATATAGTAAAAACTTAAAAAATCTTCTTTTAAAGAACCCAAAGAGCTAGAGCTAAGATATTTAGCATGAAACATGTTCTAATGGGTGTCTACAAAGTTTGTTCAAATAAAAGCCCTGGGGTCAAAATTGGCCCTGCCCCAGCGGTCATTGATTTTCCTTTTATGTGTATAGCAAAAACTTAAAAAATCTTCTTTGAAAAAACCCAAATAGCTAAAGTTTAGATATTAAGCATGAAACATCTTCTAGTGAGTGTCTACAAAGTTTGTTCAAATAAAAGCCCTGGGGTCAAAATTGGCCCCGCCCCGGGGGTCATTGATTTTCCTTATATGTGTATGGCAAAAACTTAAAAATCTTCTTTGAAAAAACCCAAATAGCTAGAGTTTAGATATTAAGCATGAAACATCTTCTAGTAAGTGTCTACAAAGTTTGTTCAAATAAAAGCCCTGGGGTTAAAACTGGCCCCGCCCCAGAGGTGTCATTGTTTTTAACTATATGTGTATAGTAAAAACTTAAAAAATCTTCTTTTAAAAAACCCAATGAGCTAGAGGTTAGATTTTAAAGATTTTAAGCAGGATACATCTTTTTGTTGGTGTCTACCAAGTTTGTCCAAATAAAAGCCCTTGGGTTTAAATTGGCCCTGCCAAAGGGGGGGGGGGGAGGTCATTGTTTTTCATTATATGTGTGTAGTAAAAACTTAACATGAAACATCTTCTAATGGGTGTCTTCCAAGTTTGCTCAAATAAAAGCCCAGGGGTTTAAACTGGCACGCTCCGGGGGCCTATATACAGGTGAGCGACCTCAGGGCCATCATGGCCCTCTTGTTTAAATATTGGTGTTATTATACCTTCTCCCCAAATCAACGGATATTCTCCATTATTGAATAGCCTATTAAAAAGTTTTAACAGAAATTCTGATATAATATCATACGATGATTGAAGAATTTCACTTGTAAGTTCGTCCTTTCCAGGGGATTTATTTTTATTTTGTGAGAAAACTGCGTCTCGAAGTTTGGGTTCAGTTATATTTTTATCGAGTTCCCGGTTATAGATGTTTTCATCGAAAATTGAATTAGTATCATCGTTCGAATACTCTTCGCCGAATAAAGATTTAAAGTAATTATAAAACTGATCTACGGTCAAGGTTTCGCTTTTTTCAGTTTTTGTTTTGTAGCTGTTTTTGATGTTTTGCCAAAATTTTCTAGGCTGTGATTTAGCTAAATTATTTATCCTTTTACCCTCATTAATTGTAAATTTTCGTCTCGCCTTTGATTTAACTCTATTATAGGTAGTACGCATTTTTACATAAGTCTTAAGCGTTTCCTCGTTTTTTTTGTCTATTAAAAATATTTCTCGCAATTTTAAATTGTTTTTTTGCTTCGGAACAGTTTTTATTAAACCATTTATTGTTTACATACCCATGTTTATGTACTTTTTTATTTGTTATTGTATCAAACGCTTCACGTGCATTTTCCTGTAACAGCTGATTAAATGTTTGTACCACGTGGTCAATAGGGCGGTTGTTTATATCGCGGGTTAGTTTCTGTAATACGTCACTCTTACTAAGTAGTTTTGTTCGAAACAGGGGTATATTTTCTTCATTCCATAACAATTTACTTCTGTTCTCGTTATCTTGTAAATTTTCTTAAGTTTGAGGAAAATGTGATATTTTTGGGATGGTAAAAAGTATTGGCGCATGGTCGGAAAATTCATTAAATTCAAGTATTGCAAATTCATCTAACATTGAAAAATCGCAATAATTTAAAAGTAGATAATCAACTGTACTTTGTCCATTGCTGGTACAAAATGTATAATTACCCTTGTGCCGGTCATCAAGAATACGGCCGTTAGCTAATAATAACCCGGTTACGCAACACATATCAAGCAGACGACGTCCGTATTGGTCAATTACATTATCTTTGTTTACACAAAGTGGAATATCACGTGTTTCCATAAACGTCAATTTGGTCTAAATATTTATCATAATCAATGTAATCGGGTAAATCTGAAGTTCTGCTATTGAAGTCCCCTGAGAGCAATACTTTTCCTAAATCATTAAACTTTAAAATATCTAGCTCTAATCATGAACAGTATAATTATGCAAATGTCTTGTATGTTAAGATGTTAAGGTATTGTTTAGAATTTATTATTATGCCCCCCATATAATGGCTGGGGCATATAGTGTTACCCTGTTTCGTCATTCTGTCATCATCAAATTTCCGTTCATTATCTTAGTAACAGTTGCACACATTCGACTCAAATTTGACTATGAATATATCATAAGAAAATACAGGTCAAGATCGAATTTGGTCATGGTTCGATGATTTTTGGCAGAGTTATGCCCCTATCACTTTGAAAATAATATAAAATTTTCAGTTTCCGTTCATTATCTCCCTAACGGTATTACACATTCAACTCCAACTTGACATATGGATACATCAAAGGAATGCGCAGGTCAAGTTGAATTTGGTCATGGTTTGATGATTTTTGGTGCAGTTATGCCCCTTTTACTGTGAAAATGATATGAAATATTTAGATTCCGTTCGTTATCTCCCCAATGGTTGTACACATTTAACTCAAATTTAGCATATAGATACATGTAAGGAATAAGCAATTTAAGTTTGAATTTGGTTGTGGTTCAATGATTTTGGACAAAGTTATCTCTCTTGAATGTTGGAAAAATTTAGAATTTTCAGTTTAATCATTAAATCAAACCTTAACCAGGTGCATTGCTAAAACTACAACAATATTATAACATTTGAAATTTTGGCTGCATGCAGGGGCATCCGTGGCGTTGAGACACATTCCTAGTTTATTAATATTATAATATTTTACAGAATAATGCCATCCAGATATCAGGATCTTCAGCATGTTCAAGTAGTACACAGTATACAGGCTACTATAGATGTGTGTGGACTTCTAGTAACTCTTTAAATGATGGGTCGTATACATACAACATTGTTGTTACAACCATCACACAAGCAACTCCACTAACAGGATCATTTAAAATAGGTACAGTGTAACTTCCGAATTCCGGAACTTCTGAATCCAGAAACTTCTAAAATCCGCACATTTTTTTAGGTCCCGATTTTTTCCCTTCTATTTTTAACCAGGTTTTCAATTTTGAAAATCCTGGTTATTAGATTGGGGTATGGCGGGCGGATGGGCGGATGGGCGGCTGGGCGGATGGGCGGATGGGCGGGCGTCAAACGAAATTGTGTCCGCTCTGTAACTCTTCAACCCTTTGAAGAATTTTGATGAAACTTCAGACAAATGTTTACCACATCAAGATGACGTGCAGAACGCATGTTCCGCATGGCTGGCTCCAAGGTCAAGGTCACAGTGACATTAACATTGAAAATCCTGTCCGCTCTGTAACTCTTCAACCCTTTGAAGAATTTTGATGAAACTTCAGACAAATGTTTACCACATCAAGATGACGTGCAGAATGCATGTTCCGCATGGCTGGCTCCAAGGTCAAGGTCACAGTGACATTAACATTGAAAATCCTGTTTACATGATTTTAACTTGTTACACTTTGAACTTTGTCTGGGACATAACTCTAAAAGTATAAGAGGTATCAACATGAAACTTTGTAGGTAGATAGATCTCATTGAGTAGGTGTGCAATGCACAAGAACCATAACTCTGCCTTGCCTAATTTTTTAATTATCCCCCTTTGTTTATTTTACACTTTGAACTTTGTCCGGGACATAACTCTAAAAGTATAAGAGGTATCAACATGAAACTTTGTAGGTAGATAGATCTCATTGAGTAGGTGTGCAGTGCACAAGAACTGTAACTCTGCCTTGCCTAATTTTTTAATTACCCCCCTTTGTTTATTTTACACTTTGAAATTTGTCCGGGACATAACTCTAAAAGTATAAGAGGTATCAACATGAAACTTTGTAGGTAGATAGATCTCAGTGAGTAGGTGTGCAGTGCACAAGAACGGTAACTCTGCCTTGTCTTATTTTTGAATTATCCCCCTTTGTTTATTTTACACTTTGATCTTTGTCCGGGACATAACTCTAAAAGTATAAGAGGTATCAACATGAAACTTTGTAGGTAGATAGATCTCATTGAGTAGGTGTGCAGTGCACAAGAACGGTAACTCTGCCTTGCCTACTTTTGGAGTTATTGCCCTTTGTTCATTTTGACACTTTGACTTTGTCTGGGACATTACTCTAAAATTATAAGAGATATCAACATGAAACTTTGTAGATAGATAGGTCTCATTGGTGGAAGTGCAATGCACAAGAACCGTAACTCTGCCTTGCCGTATTTTGAAGTAATTGCCCTTTGTTTATTTTTACTTTTTGACTTTGTCCTGGACAATACTTTAAAACTATTAGAGATATCAACATGAAACTTTGTAGGTAGCTAGATATAATTGGATAGAATTGCAATGCTTAAAGAACCTAAACAAAGCCTGGTCTAATTTTGGAGTTATTGCCCTTTGTTCATTTTTACACTTTGACTTTTACATGGGACATAATTCTGATATCATCAGGAAACTTTATAGATAGATAGATCTCATTGAATAGAAGTGCAGTGCAAAAAAACATAACTCCGCTTTGCCTAATTTTGGAGTTTTTGCCCTTTGTTCATTTTTTTTATACTTTCCTGTGTCCAGAACCTTCTCGGGGAGCATCACCCGGTTCAACCGGTTCTTGTTTACCTAATTATGGCCCTTTGTTTTTTTTCCTTATACAGAATATATATAGTGAACACTTCTTCTGTGCGCAATTCCTCCTGCATTATTCATGTTTTACATTGCACATAGTTACATTGTTTGTTGCTTGTATTTGTATTTCAAATACAACATATTTATCTACAATGGTGATAATTGAAAACCTGGTTTCATGGCATTGCCATGTTTCTTGTCTATTAATATAATACTTCTGAATTCCAGAACTTTTAAATTCTGAATTCCGGACGATATTTTCGTAAAATTAGAGTCAAATTAATGCAATTTTACCTCCAAAATCCGGATATATCCAAATGTGTGAAATACATTGTAAATCGAGAATGTTTACCCTGCAGGAAGATTTAATCTCCTATCGATTGTTTACTTATTAGCGGTGATCGTGTAATTTGACACATGTTAAAATCACAAGCTGTGAATGGTATGTTTGAAGTGATGCGGTTAATTCAAATAATTTAATGGCGGTCAGTTGTTTTAAAGTGATTCTTAGCGGATTAAATGGCAATTAATTGCGACAATAAATGTATCAAACGTCTTCAGGGATTTATTGCATTTGATGTACTAATTAATTAACTAGCATCAGAAAATATGTAAGTTTATGCTTTTAACAACATTTCTACAAACTGATAGAAATTTAAAGGTATTTGCAGGTAAGATAAGAAATGAGCAAAATTTAATTGATTAAAATGAAGACAGAACAATCTTTAAATAATGGTCTTTTCAGAAATTTGCATTAGTTTCATAGTCATAAGGAACGAAACACCTTCTAAACCTTCACATCTTTATCTTGATTAAAAGACTATTATATATGATATTACAGTATTGATAACATTTTCCTTGACATGATTTAGTGGCTTAGTCTTGTCCACATGATCCTAAACCTTTGAATTCCGGAAACTTCTGAAATCCGAACTTTTTGACAAGTCCCAAGGGTGTTCGGTTTTCAGACGTTACACTGTATCTAAAGTTATGAATATTTAGAAAATTAATGTTTATAGAAAACATAATTTGTAGATAATAATCTAATGATTCATAGTGCATCAAATTATTACATTACAATATTACATTTTTTTAATTTTTCCAAAATAAAAATTTGAACAATCTTGAAATTTCAAAAAACAATGACATTTTGTTAATCTATACACTCAGGTTTTCAGTTTATTAATTTTTCACTAAGAGAAAAATAGTTTATATATCAGTTAAACAAACTTGTTATCATTATAAAGCTCATTGATAATTTCAGCTTCACCTACTACACCATTGATTTCAAATGTTGTGCAGTTAAATGCCACTCGTGAAGTTGTGTACGGAAATGAAGGACAATCTCTGACAATACAATGCACTTCAACTGGAGGATATCCCTCACCAACGGTAACCTGGTATAAGAACAGCATATCTAGCTCTATCCAGTTAGCCTCTACAAGTTCAGGAACGATACAAAGTGACGGTACATACACTGTCAACCTACAACATACATTTACACCTGCTACATCAGATGATAGGAAATATTTGATATGTAGATCCTACTATCCTCAAGCTGATAGTGCTCAAGTAGGATCAAATAACAAATCAGTGCTACTTTACTTGTCATGTGAGTATTAAATTGTAAACTTTGTTTTAAAAAAGATAATGTTTTCTTCACAATCCAGACTTTCTATAATAAAGCTACAATAAAGGTTCAAATAAAATATGAAATGCAAACATATTTACTTATACTGTGAATTCACTTATATTCGTGGGCATGAAATTCGTGGTTTTATTAAAACGGGCATTTTCGTGGGATCTTCAATTCGTGGATTTTCATTTTCTTGTAAAAAAATTCAGTTACCTTATGCAAAGTAATCTTAAACTTAATCGCCGGTCATTTTTTCATTACAGCATGTACATATCTTTACTTGTCACACAGCACTTGTCCTTGCCTCTGGGCATTACTCTAATATAGCACAGTTACAGCCGATAATTGACTGCAATTAACACATTTGAGCTGTGTCACGACAAAACCAACATAGTGTGTTTGCAACCAGCATGGATCCAGACCAGCCTGCGCATCCGCCCAGTCTGATCAGGATCCATGCTGTTTGCTTACAAACCATATAACAAGTAGAGAAACTGATAGCAACCAGCATGGATCCTGATCAGACTGCGCGGATGTGCAGGCTGGTCTGGATCCATGCTGGTTGCAAACCCATTATGTTCGTTTTGTCGTGACAAGGCTCATTTATGTGACATGATATGCACCTCCATTTGACACACTGCCCTTGTAATTCGCCGATAGAAACATCGCATAATTTATATGACACCTGACAGGTTTTAACCAGCGAGTTTAAAAAGTTTACACCCAGAATTGGTCTGATCATATTTGACAGTAACTACACGCAACGTCACAGCGACTGTGTAAATTTACATGCATATAAATTAATCTCAGGAAGTAACACGATACGAGTATGTTTGGAACTAGTGAAAGTCGGTGGCGTCTTTGATGTTTGCGGAATAGCATTCGCACAAATACAAATTAAAATTCATATAAATTGATCATTTAAAAACGACAAAAGAATGTACAATTCATCTTGTTTAACGATCGTATTTTTATAGTTTTGTGTAGAAAGAAAAAGACTGAGTAAAAGACTTTTTTGAATTAATAAGAGCAAACTGACAATTTTTATTAGCGCTATTTATTGCATTGCCTGGGTTTCCATATTTACTCGATTAATGTCAAGTATTCTTGTTAACACAATCAAGTCCTAGTAGACTACAACTGTCAAGTATGTATATGCGACATTGTGACAGTAAATTGAGGACATATAATCGAGTTTTCTTTCAACTTTCTTAAATATTGCAAACGGATTTAATCTGTCAATAACCTGATTATCTATGTGTATTTATATATTTATTTTTTTTAAAAATCGGCCGGAAAAGAGCCGACGCATGTTTGTAATATATAGAACAGAGACTGGGTAAGAAGTATTTGTTGGGATAAAAGATTGTCGGATCTTAAATTGGTGGATTGACCTATCCTAGAAAACCACGAATATTCGTGCCCCACAAATAATTATGATTTTACAGTATATTATATGAGTACATTTGTCAAATGTTTTCATTGTGTATAGTCTGATTTTATTGACCTGTCAATTATAAATACAAATGTACATTATAGCACTCACTTAAATATTCAATCCCACTCCAGTTCTGTCTGTATAGATTGGAGTATGCAACTAATGTTTGGACAAGTCACACTAGCTCAATGTAAAGGTTCTTGTAACATCTGCAATAGCACAGTCGTTAAGTGATTACCTTATATATGGGAGGTCTGTGGTTGAATTTCTACTTCTGCCATTGTTTTTAGACCTATTCTTTCTTTATTTTTTAAATGTATTTTAATGAAAATGGCAAAGTGCTTGCAAAATTGTCTACATGAATATGTAACAACTTAGAAACACTGAATTGTCTCGTTTGCATTGTGTTTTAAGGCACTGAAATGACATTTATTGATTTTAATTTAATACCAATTTTTATATGCCCAAAAGAATTTTGGGCATATTATGTTATACCCCCTGGCGTCCGTCTGTCCGTCCGTCTGTTAGCAATTTGGTTTCCGGAGCATAACTTTAGTTCCATTTGGCCCACAGTTTTCAAACTTCATAGGATAATTGTCCATATTGGGTAGAAGACCCCTATTGATTTTGGGGTCACAAGGTCAAAGGTCAAGGTCACTTTTACAGTAAAACTGAAAATGGTTTCCTGAGCATAACTTAAGTTCCATTTGGCCCACAGTATTCAAACTTCATAGGATGATTGTCCATATTGGGTAGAAGACCCCTATTGATTTTTGGGTCACAAGGTCAAAGGTCAAGGTCACTATTAGCTTAATACTGAAAATGATTTCCTGAGCATTACTTAAGTTCCATTTGGCCCCACAGTTTTCAAACTTCATAGGATGATTGTCCATATTGGGTAGAAGACCCCTATTGATTTTGGGGTCACAAGGTCAAAGGTCAAGGTCACTATTAGCTTAATACTGAAAATGATTTCCTGAGCATTACTTAAGTTCCATTTGGCCCCACAGTTTTCAAACTTCATAGGATGATTGTCCATATTGGGTAGAAGACCCCTATTGATTTTGGGGTCACAAGGTCAAAGGTCAAGGTCACTATTACCCTAAAACTGAAAATGGTTTCCGCAGCATAACTTAAGTTCCATTTGGTCCACAGTATTCAAACTTCATAGGATGATTGTCCATATTGGGTAGAAGACCCCTTTTGATTTTGGGGTCACAAGGTCAAAGATCAAGGTTACTATCACCTTTAAACTGGAAACAGTTTTCGCTCAATAACTCCAGCATTAATCAGCCTACAGCTAAAGTACTTTCGGGCATATAATGCTTCGCCTAGCGTTGCTCTTGTTAAACTATATTATAGTATAGACTAAACGAAAGTACAATGTAGGTGCAAAACATATTAAAAAAAACAATCATAACATAATCATAATAATAATGTTGTAAATAGATTTTAATAATAAAAAAAAAAAACATGGACATATGAGGTCTCGATTCAGCATAAAAATTGTAAGCAGGGGTACATGCGCGCAAGCTAAAATCATCAGAATGAATGTTTGGGAAAGCCTACTATGCATATCAGTTAAATGTTGTTTCCATCTACCAATTGTTAGGACCAGCCTGAACCCGGTCTCAATTGCAAGTCTGCTTTCAAAAAGTCATCTCAGTCTGATTTGTAAATGTACCGTCTTAAGAAAAAATGTTTAGGATATTTAAAACTGCCAAAAAGTATTTTTAGTTCATAAATGATCAACAAAAAGTTTGTCACTTGATTTTTTGAACAATTAACTTCAATTTTGAACTTTACAAATGTCATATGAAATTAAAATTGTCAATTGACCTTTTGAAATAAATGTACATAATTAAGGATATAGAAAATTTTAGTTATTGGTAATAACCGTATGGACTAAACAAAAGATCAGTGATTGTAATGGCTGTAATATGGCTACCTTTAATGATGAGAGTTTGTGTCTGTGTTAGTGGGTAGTAATACTAAGTGAAACAACTGTTCATTAATATTATGCTGACTTAAATGTTCTTGCAAACAAGAACATGTTTAAACTTCTGTGTACCCCCAGATTTTGAAATGTACCCCCCCCCCATTTTCAGTGAAAGGGGGTACATGTACCCCCTACATTTGAAATTGAATGGGTAAACTGTTGATCATAAAACATGTAGGACAACTAGAAATTATAAACCTGTAGTTTACTCTATTGCGCTTTAACGGCCAGTATAGCTTTTTCATGGAAACAAATTAAATTTAATCACATCTTACTGCGTACATCTCACGAAATTTACCAGAAATCAGTTGAAGATTAATATATTGTGTGCATTGACCGTATAATCAGTATGCAATTGACAGGTGGATAAAATCAAACAATAGCTCTTATTACAGAAACTAAAGCTGTTTGTGAAAGTTCTAGTTTTATAGAACCATCAAGTGAAGTCAAGTGTGCAAACAGTTACACAAAAATCTGTTTTAGTTATATACATTTCAGTGTTGCATCTAGGTCGCGCGATTGCGCGATTTGCGCATTTTTTATGCAGATCGTGCATTTTAATGAAGTCAATGTGTGCCAAGTCGCGCATATGACGATCTTTTCAACTTAATTCAGTTTATCTTCATCATATCTTGAACGCTTCAGCCATGTTTGTTTTCACTTGTGGTTACGACTAAAATACGTACTAAATCGCGTGTAGCAGCCGACTGGGTCATCTGGCGTGTGTTTTGTAGTATTTGTCAATATTTATTTTTTCTACTTCCGTTGTTGAGTGGAAAATAGCTGTCAAAAATGCCTGAATGTAAAATAAATGAATTCTTTTCGGTACGTCATATTGTAAGGTAAATGTATGTCCCCCACATTTTTTTTCAAATCCCCCACATTTTTCAGTTGATTGGGGGACAATCCCCCATAATTTTAAAATTCTAGACATTTGATTGATTCTTGAATATTATTATTCTATAAATCCTACTTATTACAGTGGTATTTTTCAGTAAAGCCAAACCAGCCAACAGTTACACAGACATCTGTTGTATCAGGTAGTACTGTAACGGTAAGATGTACAACAAACGGGTGTAGACCAGCAGCCAGTATATCCTGGTTATATCAAGGTGTAAGGTATAGTGGCAGTACAACAAACACACCTGATGCCGCAACAGAAACATTTACAGTTGTCTCCACATATAATAGACAGGTGACAGCTGCAGACAATGGACAAAGTATACGATGTACAGTTACTCATCCTGCATTAGTGAGTCCAGCATGGCTGAGCAAATCAACAGATCTTAATGTCCAATGTAAGTCTAAATGGACATTCACCAATATAATTGGGTAATATAATCATAAGGAAGCTGTGAGTCAAATAAGACAGATGAAATTTCATAATAATGCATGATTGAAAATGTTACTAAAGATAAAGGCAGTTTTCTTAATGCATGAGTATCATTCTTTACAAAGAACCTTTTTGTGGTCAATTTGAGTATAATCATGACATATTGCATAACTGTTTTAGTGCTTCAATAAACCATTAAAGCTGCATGCCTCCAGATGAGCCAAAATCAAACTTAAGAAAAATGTAGAAGGACTTTAAGAACAGTTAAATGATTCAAAATTTAAGTAATAATTTACATGTTATGTGCAATTAATAACTGGTTTTGCAGAATTTATCAACATATTTCTACTACATGACTAACACAGTACAGGCTATTTTTGCATATTTTGACCTCTTTTTGCTAATTTACTTAAATTCTAAGTGCTGTTGAACATGTTTAAATTTCTTTCTTTGTTTTATTCTCAATATTTTACTTTCAAATATGTTTTCAAAATTTTCATGAAAATTTAAATGAATCTGGAGGCATGCGGCTGTAGAGATATAACTCTGGTAAAACTAATAAGGTGTCCTAATGCCATAAATGCCCCTGCATGCAGCCAAAATTTCTTATGTTAATAATAATATTTAGTTCAAAATTTCTTTGCACAAACCATTTTTAAGCTTGATTTTTTTTTGAAAAAAAAGAAAAAAAGAATAGAGTTATTGTCACAGTCATGTTGGCATTACCATTGCAGCCCGCAAACTTGTATCTTGATAATAACTGTTGAGGTTACCTGAGGTTGCTCAGGGTGAGCTTTTAGGATAGTTGCATGTCCGTTGCATCGTCCATCATCTGTGGTCCGTCCACATTTGTTCATTATCACTAGCAGTCACATTTTTGCCTCGATCATCATCAAACTTTGGCAGGATGCTTGTCTAGGTAATTGCTGGAATGAGTTTCAATATGGGTCATCTCGGGTGAAAAACTAGGTCACAGGAGCTAAAAATAAAAAAAATGTTGTTTACACTCTAGTGGCTACTGTTTTGATCCAATTATCTTGGAAATTGGTCTAAAAGTTTGTTTTGATGATTTCTAGGTCAAGTTTGAATATGGGTCAACTGGGGTCAAAAACTAGGTTACAATGCTCAAATAAGGAAAAACCTTGTTGACACAAGTAGTTACAATTTTACTCAACTGTCATGAAATTGGTCAGGCTGCTTGTCTATGTAATTCAGGGCTCACGCTGTTGGTCGCCATAGTCGCCATTTGCGATTATTTTATAAGATTGGCGATTATTTTGCATTTTGGCTACAAAATCTGGTGATTATTTTTTGCTTCCAACAGTGTTTATATAAGGTGTAAAAATCGATAAAGAATGCAGTAGACCCAATTTACACCAGGGGGGTAGATTTAATTGAGTGTCAACTTTTTATCGGTCACGCATTGCTTACTATATTGCCCGAGGTGATAAAAATACATGCAAGGTGTAAAATTGTATAAGAACAAAAGATATTGTCCAGCATTATAATAGCCATCAAATATCCGCCAATTAGCCACAAAATTTGTCTTAAAATTGATTATAAAAACTGGCTATTGACCAACCCAAAATTTACCGTAAATTGCAGTAATGGCAAATTTTGAATTAGATATTTGTTTTAAGCTGCTTGACTAAATGGCCAGTGGAAAACAATGATAAAATATTTAAAAAGTATTTACTTCCAAACAACTATTTGCACAACAAGCAAAATTGTGAATATTTCTTCAGAAAACAGAAAAAATCCGATTGTCACATATTTTCGCGACACCCATCATTTTGATATTTATTTAAAGGTGAAAATAAGCTATGTTCTGTTTAAAAATCTTTACTATTATGGCAGAAAATTTGTATTACATCGGTGATGATGACATTTTTAGCTCACTTGTCACAAAGTGACAGGGTGAGCTTTTGTGATCGCTTTTCGTCCGGCGTTTGTCCGGCGTCCGTCCGTAAACTTTTACTTTAAATGACATCTCCTCATAAACCACTAAGCCAATTTCATCCAAACTTCACAGGAATGTTCCTTTGGTGGTCACCTTTAAAAATTGTTCAAAGAATTTAATTCCATGCAGAACTCTGGTTGCCATGGCAACCGAAAGAAAAAACTTTAAATATCTTCTTTTAAAAAACCCAAAGAGCTAGAGCTTAGATATTTGGCATGAAGCATCTTCTAGTGAGTGTCTACCAAGTTTGTTCAAATAAAAGCCTTTGGGTCAAAATTGGCCCCGCCCCAGGGGGTCATTGATTTTCCCTATATGCATATAGTAAAAACTTAAAAAATCTTCTTTTAAAGAACCCAAAGAGCTAAAGCTAAGATATTTAGCATGAAATATCTTCTAATGGGTGTCTACCAAGTTTGTTCAAATAAAAGCCCTGGGGTCAAAATTGGCCCCGCCCCAGGGGGTCATTGATTTTCCCTATATGCATTTAGTAAAAACTTAAAAAAACTTTCTTTTAAAGAACTCAAAGAGCTAGAGCTAAGATATTTAGCATGAAACATGTTCTAATGGGTGTCTACCAAGTTTGTTCAAATAAATGCCCTGGGGTCAAAATTGGCCCGGCCTGGGGGGTCATTGATTTTCCTTATATGTGTATAGCAAAAACTTCAAAAATCTTCTATGAAAAAACCCAAATAGCTAGAGTTTAGATATTAAGCATGAAACATCTTCTAGTGAGTGTCTACAAAGTTTGTTTAAATAAAAGCCCTGGGGTCAAAATTGGCCCGCCCCCGGTGTCATTGATTTTCCTTATATGTGTATAGTAAGAACATAAAAAAATCTTCTTTTAAAAAACCCAATGAGCTAAAGCTTAGATATTTAGCATGAAACATCTTCTTATGGGTGTCTACCAAGTTTGTTCAAATAAAAGCCCTTGGGTTAAAATTGGCCCTGCCGGAGGGGAGGTGGGCAGGTTATTGTTTTTCATTATATGTTTGTAGTAAAAACTAAACATTATGAAACATCTTGTTTGTTCAAATAAAAGCCCTGGGGTTTAAACTGGCCCCGCTCCGGGGGCCTCTATACAGGTGTGCGACCTCAGGGCCATCATGGCCCTCTTGTTCAGTAAGTTATTCAGAAAAAAGGCTGCATTCTGTGAATGAGTTTGCAAGTGTTATTTCTATAGGCTAATATGACCTAGATAATACTCCAGTTTTGTGTGAAATGTGGAAATTGACAGTGGTTATAGCTGACAAAATTTTATTAGAACAAACAAAAGAAATTGTCTGATAACAGCATTATGTAAAGTTATAATAACAGCATTATGTAAAGTTATAATGAATCTTTAATATTTTTGTTATACAGTTATTATACTACATGTATATATCATTTTTATTCTGTACTATAATAACAATTAAAGTTGTGGTTCTATGTAAAAAAATTATACTAAATATCATTTTTATTATGCCACCGCAGCATCTGTTTGTTTGTTTGTGTAAGTGTTATATAGATTATATAGTGAACTTAAAAAATCTTCTTGTGAAAAACCACTAGTCCAATTTCAACCAAACTTGGCAGGATTGATCCTAGGGTGAAGGGCTTCCAAAGTTGTTCAAAGAATTTAATTCCATGCAGAAATCTGGTTGCCATGGCAACCAAAAGGAATTATAAGAATAAATTAAAAAAATCTTCTTGTAAAGACCCAAAAGGCCTAGAGCTTAGATATTTTGCATAAGGCATTGTCTGGTAGACCTCTACCAAGATTGTTCAAATCGGCCCTGCCCCTGGGGTCATTGGTTGAACTTATATAAAAAAAACTTAAAAAAAAAATTCTTATAGCAATTGACAAATGCTAGAGATTAGATATTTTGCATGAAGCATTGTGTAGTGAACCTCTAGCAAGATTGTACAAATTAAAGCCCTGGGATCAAAATTGGCCCCGCCCCGGGGGTCATCGTTTTTCAATATGTACATATAGTAAAAAAATAAAAAAATCTTATTGTCTGAAGGTACAAGGCTTAGAGCTTTAATATTTGTTATATGATATCATCTATAGGTAGTCTACCAAAGTTGTTCAAATTTTGCCTCTAGTGTCAAAATTAGCCCCACCCTAGGGGTCATAGGTTTTCCTCATATGTATATAGTAAAAACTAAAAAAAATTATCTTCTCTAAATTGACAAAGGCTAGAGGTTAGATATTTTGCATGAAACATTGTGTAGTGAACCTCTAGCAAGATTTTACAAATTATAGCCCTGGGGACAAAATTGGCCCCACTCCTGGGGTTCATTGATTTTCACTATGTACATATAGTAAAAAATTGAAAAATCTTATTGTCTGAAGGTACAAGGCTTAGAGCTTTGATATTTGGTATATGATATCATCAATAGGTTTTCTACCAAATTGTTCAAATTGTGCCTCTAGTGTCAAAACTAGACCCGCCCCGGGGGTCATAGGTTTTCCTTACATGTATATAGTAAAAACTTTAAAAAACCATCTTCTCTGAATTGACAAAGGCTAGATGTGAGACATTTTGCATTAAACATTGTGTAGTGAACTTCTAGCAAGATTACTCAAATTAAAGCCCTGGGGTCAAAATTGGCCCCGCCCCTGGGGATCGTTGATTTTCAGTCACTATGTCATAAAGTAAAAAATTAAAAATCTTATTGTCTGAAGGTACTAATCTGATATTAACAGATAGGTAAGTGATCTATGCATTATGGCAATCTGTATAGAAACAAAAAAATTGTGTTCCTAAATTACTATTTAGTGTTGTATTGATGCGGTGGCATGGCATTTTTACAAATGCAATCTTGTTCTGTTCTATAATAACAATTAAAGTTGTGGTTCTATGTAAAAAAAAGGTAGTTATCAATATACACAAATGTATCAGTTTATTTGAGAATCCTTATAAAACTGAAAAAGTTTTTATATGTAATGTTTATTTCATCAACTGCTTATGTTGTTAATTGCTAAATCGTGAATAGTCCGCTGAACTTTTGGCTATTATTTTTTTAAGTTAAAAATATTGGCTATTATTTTATTTGAGCCAGTGTGAGCCCTGTAATTGTTTGGATGAGTTTGATGGGTCAGGTGAGCTATCTAGGGCCATCTTGGCCCTCTTGTTCAGTTCCTGGTATATTGTCTCCATACTTGGCCACAACAACCCTTGGGACAAGACATTCAAGTAGACCAGATTAACCTTGACTTTCATTCATAAATGATTTTGACTTTAAAGTTTTCCTTTTTTTTTTGCTGATTTTTGCTATTAGTGGCAATAACTTTGTTATTTTGGAATGTATTGTCTTGAAATTTGAACATTATAATCGTTTAGAATAGACCTTCAAGTTGATCAGACAGAATTTGCCATTCAGTTATAAATGACCCTCAAATTATTGAAATTTTCATTTTCATATGCCCGAAAGGGCATATTATGTTATACCCCCTTGCGTCCGTCTGTCTGTCAGTCCGTCCGTTAGCAATTTGGTTTCTGGAGCATAACTTAAGTTCTATTTGGCCCACAATGTTCAAACCACATAGGATGATTGTCCATATTGGGTAGAAGACCCCTATTGGTTTTGGGGTCAAAAGGTCAAGGTAACTATTACCTTAAAACTGAAAACAGTTTCCGGAGCATAACTTAAGTTCCATTTGACCCACAATGTTCAAACTTCATAGTATGATTTTCCATATTGAGTAGAAGACCACTATTGATTTTGGGGTCACAAGGTCAAATGTCAAGGTCACTATTACCTTGATACTGAAAACAGTTTTCGGGGCATAACTTAAGTTCCATTTTGGCCCACATTATTCAAACTTCATAGGATTATTGTCCATATTGGGTAGAAGACCCCTATTGATTTTTGGGTCAAAAGGTCAAAGTCACTATAACCTAAAAATTGAAAACAGTTTCAGGAGCATAACTTTAGTTCCATTTGACCCATAATATTCAAACCTTATTAGGATTATAGTCCATATTGGGTAGGAGACCCTATTGATTTGGGAATCACAAGGTCAAAGGTCAAAGTCACTTTTACCTTAATACTGAAAACAGTTTCTAGAGCATCACTTAAGTTTCATTTGGCCCACAATATTCAAATTTCATATTTTGATTGTGCATATTGGATAGAAGACCCCTATTGATTTTTGGGTCACAAGGTCAAAGATTAAGGTCATTATTAATAACTTAAGTATTAATTAACCTACAGCTGTAAAATTTTATAGGATGAACAGCTTATTCCCATGTCTTACAAATGCTTCATCCTTACTAAAAATAAAACACTTTTGGGCATAATTATAATGCTCCGCCTAGAGATGCTCTGGTTTTTTTGCTGCACTGCTATAATTTTGTTATTATGGAATGGATTGAAATTTTTATTTTTTGCCCTTTTTTGACCTTTGCTCTTTTGTTAAATTATGTAATTGCTGTAATTGACTCTAACTTGGTTAAATAATAAATGTATTGTCATACTTGATGACAACCTTGATGGACAAGACCTTCAAAAAGGTTGAACTGACCTTGACCCTGAGCTTTAAATAACCTTGACCGTCAAGGTCAAATTATTAGTTTGGTGACCTTGACCTTAAATTGACCTTGACTGTCAAGTCAAGTTCTTATTTGGTCATGATCAGATGTTTTTTGAGAGTTACCCCCTTGAACTTGGAAAAGATATAAAAATTCACAATTTCTCATCATTATCTTGGCTACAAATATGCAATATGTAATTTGCAAAAGGTTAACACTGAATAGTTTTGGGCCTTGCACTTTGTTTAAAAAATGGTTTGTGTGAACATTGAATAGTTCAAGGGCCTTGAAGTTAAAATGAAAAAATGGTTTGTGAAAACAAATTTAGACTAAATATTTATATAACATTTGAAATTGTGGCTGCATGAGTGGGCATTCATGGCATTACAGCATATTTCTAGTATCACAAATGCAATCTTTTTCATATCTAGAGAGAATTTAAACAAAATGTGTTTGTTATTTAATATACATGAGTTCATGTATCAAAACAAAATTTTAAGTTCCCTATCATACTGGTAATATTTATTTGCTAATTTAGTAATTTTCACATTAATAGATACTACGACCAGCAGAAATTTTGCCAAGATAAAGAATATTTTATTAGTCACAGATAGCAGCCATATATATATTTAAACCATTTCAAACATGGTTACATGCATTATTAGTAGACTAACATATTTTACTATCTGTGAAGAAATACATTGTGTTGGATCAGAAACAGTCCTTTTATACCCTGAACAAAACTAATAATGTTTTTTATCAGGTAAACATAATGCAGTTAAAGATACTTTAAAGAAGGGCTGAGGAGTTAATATAACCACCTCTCTATGCATAATGCATTTTAAAAATTAATTTACATTCTGTTATATAAAGTTTCAGTTGGACCGTCCACGACACAGATAATAGGTAACAGAGAAGTCGTTGCTACAGGATCTACAACATTAACATTGACTTGTACAACAGGATCATCAAACCCTGCGTCTGATATAACATGGAGAAATGGATCACATATACTTAACAGCGATCGTCAATATACGACATCTACTGGAATAAATAATGGAATAGTGAGGTCACAACAACTTATACTGTATCCAACACGATATATGGACGGTTATGATATAACATGTTCCGTGTCTAACAGTGTGTCACAGTCTCCTGTTGTGGATAAAGTAAAACTCAATTTGAAATGTAAGTCAAATGATTGTTTGGTTATATTTATACTTGATATTTGTACAAGACATGCTTACTAATTGGCAATTTTCCAGGAAAATAATCCTTAAAAATGACAGGGTTCATACGGAATTATTTTCATATGAAAAGTAAAATCAATATTTATCTGAATGAAAATGAGTCATGTCTCCCAAAATTTTTTGGAGACAATTTTTTTATTATTTTGCCCTCTGTCTGTCCGTCCATCCATCCATATGCTTGGTTGGCTTTCAAGGGTCAAACTCCTGAGGGAATTTCAACCAAACCCACAGGATTGATCGGTACCAACCGTAGTTGTGCATATCGCCAGCATGTTCCGCTTCGCAGCCCAAAATGGACACCGGAGCTATAAATAATTTTTTTTTATCTGGCTTGCATGGTTCAAACTGCTGTTGGGATTTCAATGAAACTTCACAAGAGTGTTCAGTACCATCAGTGGCATGTTCTGATTAACTGAACAGAATAGCCGCAACACTGTTAATTGAAATAGAATTTTTTTTCCGGAAGATAGGCAATAAATTGTTATAAATATTGGTACAAAGGTGAAATGTCATAAAGTATAGATCAAGTTCAAGTTTTGCTCTATTTTTGCTTTTTTTTCAAAAAGTTAAGGTTTGAATCACCTTTAGTATGAGGGCTGTTCGAAATGTATTGCTTATTTCTATCTAGAGACTTCACATTTCAAGTTAGCTCAAGTGTCCATTTCATGCCCTTGAAGTACTCCCCGTGGCTAGAAATGCAAACTTTCAGCCGATGTATCCACTTTTTTATTGCGTCATGGTACGCTGATTTGGGCACAGTAATAAGGTACTGATGAATGGCAGATCCAAGTGCCTGTCCGGACTTGTATTTCCGCCCAGCAAGGAAGGATTTCAATTTCGGAAAAGAAAAAAACAAATCACACGGGGCAAAGTCTGGAGAATATGGGGGGGGGGGGGGGGGGTGAGGCAACCCAGTTACTTTTTCTTTTTTCAAAAAACTGCCGAAACTATTGCGGAGGTATGAGCTGGGGCATTGTCATTTAGAAGGGGGATATGCTTAAAACTATAAAACTAGTGACAGGGCGTCGTTTCTTATAATACTTTTTCAGTTTCTTAAGTACTACATCTTTGTAGTACTTCCCAGTGATACATTTGCCCTTTTTCACCGACACTTTTATTGCGCCTCCTTCACCAGAGAAGAAAATTGCATACAAAACCTTCTTTGCACTCAAAGACTGTTTGGCAATTACTGGGCTTTTGTTGTGTTTAGTAACCCAGATTTTAGTGCTAACTTTTCTGACGGGCTCAAAAATGGACCCAAGTTTCATCACCTGTGACGACATTGGCAAACTGTTTTTGTCATATTTTGGAAACATTTGAAAAAGCTTTTTAGCCCCCTTAAACCTTTTTGCCTTTTTGCTCATCGGTCAACGGGATGTGGCACCCAAATTCTACAGAAATCTTTCTGATTTTTTAAAATGTTTCCCTTTCAAAATAAAGTAAAACCTTTTAAAAAGGGGTTTATGCCACCTTTCTTTGAAAATATAAACAAACTGTTTTTTTTGGCTTTCCCCTTTAAAATGATAATCCTTTTTTTTTGCATTACGATTACATTCTTAAATGCAGATTTTGGCCTCCCTTGTTTTTTGGTTTGCTTTTTTTGTGGCACTCTAAAACAAAATCAAGTTTTTTTTTCCCAAATCGTTTAAAATGTGCCCATAAGCACACATGAAGGCCCATTAGCATAGAGAGTTAACAGCCCATCAAACTGTTTAAAAAGAAAACCCCCATTTCCCTGAGAGAGTTTTGGGACGTAACCTGTTTTTTCATATTTTTTGTCGATGCTTCTACCAACCATTTTTAGCTTGACTATACGAAGTATATGGAGAGCTGTCCTACTCGCCCCGGCGTCGGCGTCCGCGTCCAGATTTTAGATTAAAGTTTTGGTGCAGTAAAATATTTTTCACTATAACTTTGTCATTTCTTAAGGTATCAACTTCAAACTTCAAATATATGTTCCTTATCATCAACCACATCTTATGTGACAAGGTTCATAACTCTAGCACCAATATTTTCAGATTTATCTCCCCTTGAACTTAGAATTTTCCTTAAAAAATACTATTTTTTACTGTTACTTCTTTATTTCTTAAGGGATCAACCTCATACTTCAAATATATGTACCTTGTCATCATCCCCATCTTATGTGACAAGGTTCATAACTCTAGCACCAATATTTTCAGATTTGTCTCCCCTTGAACTTAGAATTTTCCTAAAAAAGTACTATTTTTACTGTTTATTCTTTATTAGCTCACCTGTCACAAAGTGACAGGGTGAGCTTTTGTGATCGCTTTTCGTCCGGCGTCCGTCCGTCCGTCCAGCGTCCGTCCGTCGTCCGTCCGTCCGTCGTCCGTCCGTCCGTCGTCCGTCCGTCCGTAAACTTTTACTTTAAATGACATCTCCTCATAAACCACTAAGCCAATTTCATCCAAACTTCACAGGAATGTTCCTTTGGTGGTCACCTTTAAAAATTGTTCAAAGAATTTAATTCCATGCAGAACTCTGGTTGCCATGGCAACCGAAAGAAAAAACTTTAAATATCTTCTTTTAAAAAACCATAAGAGCTAGAGCTTGGATATTTAGCATGAAACATCTTCTAGTTAGTGTCTACCAAGTTTGTTCAAATAAAAGCCCTGGGGTCAAAATTGGCCCCACCCCGGGGGGTCATTGAATTTCCCTTTATGCATATAGTAAAAACTTAAAAAATCTTCTTTTAAAGAACCCAAAGAGCTAGAGCTAAGATATTTAGCATCAAACATGTTCTAATGGGTGTCTACCAAGTTTGTTCAAATAAAAGCCCTGGGGTCAAAATTGGCCCCGCCCCAAGGGGTCATTGATTTTCCCTATATGCATATAGTAAAAACTTAAAAAATCTTCTTTTAAAGAACTCAAAGAGCTATGGCTAAGATATTGAGAATCAAACATGTTCTAATAGGTGTCTACCAAGTTTGTTCAAATAAAAGCCCTTGGGTCAAAATTGGCCCGGCCCCAGGGGGTCATTGATTTTCCCTATATGCATATAGTAAAAACTTTAAAAATTCTCTTTTAAAGAACCCAAAGAGCTAGAGCTAAGATATTTAGCATGAAACATGTTCTAATGGGTGTCTACCAAGTTTGTTCAAATAAAAGCCCTGGGGTCAAAATTGGCCCGGCCCCAGGGGGTCATTGATTTTCCCTTTATGCATATAGTAAAAAACTTAAAAAATCTTCTTTTTAAAGAACTCAAAGAGCTATGGCTAAGATATTGAGCATCAAGCATGTTCTAATAGGTGTCTACCAAGTTTGTTCAAATAAAAGCCCTGGGGTCAAAAATTGGCCCCGCCCCAGGGGGTCATTGATTTTCCCTATATGCATATAGTAAAAACTTAAAAAATCTTCTTTTAAAGAACCCACAGAGCTTGAGCTAAGATATTTAGCATCAAACATGTTCTAATGGGTGTCTACCAAGTTTGTTCAAATAAAAGCCCTGGGGTCAAAATTGGCCCCGCCCCGGGGGGTCATTGATTTTCCCTATATGCATATAGTAAAAACCTAAACAATCTTCTTTTAAAGAACTCAAAGAGCTATGGCTAAGATATTGAGCATCAAACATGTTCTAATAGGTGTCTACCAAGTTTGTTCAAATAAAAGTCCTGGGGTCAAAATTGGCCCCGCCCCAAGGGGTCATTGATTTTCCCCATATGCATATAGTAAAAACTTAAAAAATCTTCTTTTAAAGAACCAAAAGAGTAAGAGCTAAGATATTTAGCATGAAACATGTTCTAATAAGTGTCTACCAAGTTTGTTCAAATAAAAGCCCTGGGGTCAAAATTGGCCCCGCCCCGGGGGGTCATTGATTTTCCCTACATGCACATTGTGAAAACTTAAAAAATCTTCTTTTAAAGAACTCAAAGAGCTATGGCTAAGATATTTAGCATCAAACATGTTTTAATAGGTGTCTACTAAGTTTGTTCAAATAAAAGCCCTGGGGTCAAAATTGGCACCGCCCCGGGGGTCATTGATTTTCCTTATATGTGTATAGCAAAAACTTAAAAAATCTTCTTTGAAAAAACCCAAATAGCTAGAGTTAAGATATTAAGCATGAAACATCTTTTAGTGAGTGTCTACAAAGTTTGTTCAAATAAAAGACCTGGGGTCAAAATTGGCCCCGCCCCGGGGGTCATTGATTTTCTTTTTATGTGTATAGCAAAAACTTAAAATCTTCTTTGAAAAAACCCAAATAGCTAGAGTTTAGATGTTAAGCATGAAACATCTTCTATTAAGTGACTATAAATTTTGTTCAAATAAAAGCCCTGGGTTCAATATATACAGGTGAGCGACCTCAGGGCCATCATGGCCCTCTTGTTTCTTAAGGGATCAACCTCATACTTCAAATATATTTACGTTATCATCATCCCCATCTTATGTGACAAGGTTCTTAACTCTAGCACCAATATTTTCAGATTTATCTCCCTTTGAACTTAGGATTTTCCATAAAAAATATTATTTTTTACTGTTACTTATTTATTTCTAAAGGGATCAACTTCATACTTCAAATATATTTAAGTTATCATCATCCACATCTTATGTGACAAGGTTCATAACTCTAGCACAAATATTGCAAGAATTATCTCCCCATAAACTTAGATTTTTTTTCTAGAAAAATGTTATTTTTTATTATAACTTTTTTATTTTTAAAGGTATCTACCTCAAACTTCAAATATTTATTCCTTATCATCAATTACATTTTAAGTGACAATGTTCATAACTCTTGAAGCAATATTTACACATTTATCTCTCTTTGAACTTAGGATTTTCTTTAAGAATATAATAACTTCTTTACTTTTTAAGGTATCTACTTCAAACTTCAAATATATATTTCTTATCATTACACAAATGTTGTGTGACAAGGTCCATAACTCTAGCATGACTATTTCTAGAATTATTCCCCTTGATCTTGGAATTTATGTTAACAAATATTATTATGCCCCCACTTCGAAGAAGAGGGGGTATATTGCTTTGCA